ATAGTTAAAGTCAAGGCTCGAAGAACAAACTTAACTCGGCAAGTGTTTGCCAAACATTTTCCAACAAGAGCTCCCTAAAAGCAATAGGTATTAACCTTTGTATAAATACATAACGATCATAATTTTTCATTCCATACAATTTGAGTTTGTTCATATCCACACATCTATCTATATTTAAGGCATATCTTTCTAGAGATCCGAGTTATTTAATCCATTAAAGCAATACCTTTTTTGTTCTTTGTCCAAGCATAAAACTTGATTTAAGTTATTTTCTTGAGGCTTCATCCCTTGCTAATTCTAACCTTCGATAAAAAAAAAATCAAGTCTTTCTTGGAATTTACATTATCATTGATTTTGCTCGACACATTCATTATTATGTTAAACACATTGTCGAACATATTTTTTTCAATATACATAACATTCGGATTGTGCCGAATGGGATTAGTGCTTTAATATGAAAAATCTTAGAATATACTATGTTTCTTCTAATCGGACATTTGAGATAGTCTATTGTTATCTCACATCCACCATCTTCTATCACCTTCATCAATCGTCAATATGCTATCTATTGAAAAATCTCTTCTCCGGACTGGATAGGAGGAGGGTTATCCTGTATAACTTTTTTTATATATATAAATGCGTATTTGTTCCTCCTAAATAAATGATCTTCGGGCAGGGAACTTGTAGTGATTATCAAACCATGAGATCTTTCTTCCATTAGAAAGAACGAAAGCATCATAATTCTTTATGCATTAAGGACATGTAAATTTTCTCACATTACTCTAACTAGAAAACATTGAATATGCGGGAAAGTCACTAATTGTCCACATCACTACAGCATGTAATAGAAAATTCGCTTCTAATACACATTGTAGGTCACAACACCCACTTTCCATAAATGAAGCAACTTTATCATCAAAGGTTGTAAGAATACGTCCAAATTATACTTTGGGTTTGTTGGTTCAGGAATAATCACTTTTAAAAATATATATTTTTCCTTCATACACATCCACGGTGTATCTAATCATAACATTCAAGCATAAAATTGTATCTCACAAAATGGTATTTAATTGTCTCAATCTCTTCAAAATTTTGATTCGATACTTACGTCGATTACAAAGACACATTAATTTTTTTTCATCCGTACATTCAGAATGAGTAATAGAAAATGCAACAAATTCTTCAACCTTATTCACGAAATCATCATTTAAATACTCATCGATATACCTAACATGCATCCATGTACAATCAAACCTCATTATTTTGTTTTTGCATTTTCGAGGCAACACATTTTATTTTATTCATAATTTTCCTAAATATCTTCTAAAACTTTAGCATATTCTCCCCAATAAATTACAATATTTTCAATTAACGGATACTCCAAATGATCGTACAAACATTGAAATTAAATCGGCTAACAATCAATTTAAGCATATCGAGATCGATACTTGTTTCGGATATTCTATCAAAATTAAATCCCAAACTCATCATCTAAGCTCCATCGTAGAGTATTAAAGCAACCTTATTTCTCTTCAATTTCGGAGGGTCTCTAACCTATCGGGTTTGATACATAACGACGTGTCTTAGCATAATTTAATAATTATATACACCAAAATCAAATTAACTCAAATTCAAACCTAATTGAATTTAACTAACAATTAATTAAAATTTTCCAATAAAAATAAAATTAAATATCAACCAATTAATCAAAATTAACCTAATTAATTAATTAAATCTAAATCAAACTAACCTGATCAATTCTAATTTAAACCTAATTAATTTTAAAGCTAAATAAAATTAATCCTAATGGTTTGAATTAAATTTACCTAATAATTAATTAATAATTTTCAATATAAATAAAATTAAAAATCAACCAATTAATCAAATTTAACCTAATTAATTAACTAAACCAAAATAAAATTAATCTAATTAATTCTAATTCAAACCTAATTAAATTTAACTAATCATTAATTAAAAATTTCTAATATAAATAAAATTAAAAATCAACCAATTAATCAAATTTAACCTAATTAATTAATCAAACCTACATAAAATTAACCTAATTAATTCTAATTCAAAACTAATTAAATTTAAACCTAATTCAAACTTAATTAAATTTAACTAACAATTGATTAACAATTTCCAATATAAATAAAATTAAAAATAAACCAATTAATCAAATTTAAACTAATTAATTAATTAAACCTAAATAAAAAATAACCCAATTAATTCTAATTCAAATCTAATTAAATTTAACTAACAATTACTTAAAAATTTTCAATATAATTAAACTTAAAACTTAACCAACTAATCAAAATTCCCCTAATTAATGAATTAAACCTAAATCAAATTAATAATTAATTAACAAATTAACCTAACAATTAACAAAAAAAAAACAATTTAACAAATTAATCAACAAATTAGCGATTACAACTGTATAAAATTAATCAAAACTAACAAATTAACCTAACAATTAACAAAAAATAACAATTTAACAAATTAATCAACAAATTAACAATTAATCAAAATTATCCTAATTAATTAATTAAACCTAAATCATATAAACCAATTAATCAAGATTAACCTAATTAATTAATTAAACCTCAATCATATCAACCCATTAATCAAATTTAACTTAATTAATTAAATAAATTTAAATCAAATCAACCGATTGATCAAAATTAACCTCATTAATTAGTTAAACCTAAATCAAATCAAGCAATTAATCAAAAATTACCTAATTAATTAATTAAATATAAATCAAACTAACGAGTTAATTAACATATTAAATTAACAATTAAAAATTAAAAATTAATCATATTTAACCTAATTAATTAATTAAACCTAAATCAAATCAACCAATTAATCAAATTTAACCTATTTAATTAACTAAACCTAATTCAAACTAACAATTAATTAACAAATTAACCTAACAATTTCTAAAAAATAGCAATGTAACAAACTAATCAACAAATTAACAATTAATCAAATTTAACCTAATTAATTAATTAATTAAATCTAATTCAAATCAACCAATTAATCAAAATTAACCTAATTAGTTAATTAAACCTAAATCAAACTAACAATTAATTAACATATTAAACTAACATTTAACAAAAAAAATTAATTTAACCAATTAATTAAAAATTAACAATTAAAACTATACAAAATTATAAATCAATCAATTAAATTTAAAAGTAACCTAACTATTATGAAAATAACTAACTTTTAAGTCACAAAAGAGAAAGAGATAACTTACCTATTTCGAACGTGAAGAGAAGGAGAGGAAGGAAGAAAAAAAGGATTTTTAAGGGAGAAAAGAGTTTGGAGTGGGTGTGGATTGATAGGAAGTGGAGAAGTGTAGGTATTCAACAATTTTGAGTGGGGGAGGAGTCGAGGACTCGGAGAGGAGAAGCTGGAAGAAGAAGAAATGAGAGAAGAAGAAGGAAAAGGATGGTTAAATTAGGGATTCGGACCGGCGATTAACGCGATTCCGTCACTAGTATATCGCTATTTAGTGACGAATGTAGATGTACATAGCTAATCCTTCAAAAAATGGGCGGCCAATTAATTTTAGAAGGTTGTTTATTTTTTTACAACCTAGTGATAGAAGCATTCGCGTTGCTATTCGGTCATTATTTAGCTATAGAAACTTAATTTCTACCACTATTCCATCATCAAATGGGTGACTCTCTAATTTCAAAAGGTCGTCCATTTTTTAAGATTTAGCAATGAATTTAGTACTTTAGCGATAGATATTCCATTGCTAAATCAAAACATTAAAAATAGCAACGGAATAACAATCTATCACTAGGTTTCGTAGCTATTTCATCGTTAACCCGTCTTTAAAAAACCCGAGAAGATTTTGGTGCCATAAATAGTGACAGAATATTATCCGTCATTAATAATCCGTCACTGCACCATCTCTATTCCGTCGCTAAATCAAATAGACGTTATTTGATCACTAGTTACTCGTTATTTGGCGACAGGTCACAATCCGTTGCTATTTTTCGGTTTTCTTGTAGTGCATGTGTAGCACGAAATGTCCTAGTTTGAACTTGATCATGAATGAAGTGTAAATCTATGGCAACATGCTTCATTATGCTCCAACATTGTCACGATAAATCATGGGAGATTGAGGTAGCTGAATAGTTGAGATTATGTTATGTTCTATAAAAAAGACTTAAGCTTAATAATGAGTGACTCCTACTTAACATTGTATGTTACTCATTTTGTGAATATCTATTCAATGTGAGATATATTATCTAACGTCAACTATTTTGAAATAGCCATAACTATTGGCCGATTGCTTAGAAATAACCCTAACTCGCTCGTCTAGGGGTCCTCCAAGTAATTGTGGAATTTTCAAGATTGTTTTAGGACTTCCAAGATTTTTTTTTCCTAGATAAAGTGTCATAAACGTGGATCTTGGTCTCCTTTTATGTTAACCTTAATTGAGTCCGCAAGTTTTTTAGATATATCATATTGTATGCGATTCTTGAATCTTGTGTGGTAGTTGTCACCGGTAAAGTCCATGCAATATATGTGAAATAGTTATAGACCCTAAGGGAGGACAATAAACGATTAGGAACAGGATTTGCGTACAGAATTCCTGCACACAGAAAGAAGAAGACGGCAGGAAATCTTAGGGGTTGGTAGTTGCTAATGCTCATTCTAGACTTCCCTGCAATTTTATGATTGTACTTACTTTCCTACTCAGAATCAAAACATAAGGGAGAGCTCTCAGGAAGCTGCACCAGTATTCCACGTGTCATCTCATGAAACAAAAAATCCAAACGGCTATATTTCCTTCCCGCCCTCTCTCTTTCTATATATATTTATTTGTCTGCATCACTTCTATCCCAAACGACTCCTCAGAATACCGCACCATACTAATTTGCTTCTCAATTTCTCTAATTCCTCTTCCAAAATCCCGCTCCATTCTTTAACTTAGCAAAACCGACCCATTTCTTCTTTTATTCAAGAAACCAAAAGGAAAGATGACCAAGATTAATGCCCTCCGTCGATTCCTCCTCCCTTGTTTCTCTCCTCCCACCACCATCAGCACCACCACAATCACCACCAAGAAACGCCTAAGCGCCTCCCTTCGTGACGATCTCGAAGGCCCCATCGGCACCAATCAAGAACCTGAAAACCAAGAAGCCCAAGAATCCACCTCCCCACAATCAACAACCAACCACATGATCACATTAGCCCCACCACGCCCTTCAAAAACAATGGTGATCGGTACCATTTTCGGCAGCCGCAGAGGCCACGTTTGGTTCTGCATCCAACATGACCGTCTCTCCACCAAACCTCTTCTCCTTCTTGAACTCTCAATCCCCACCCACCAACTCGTTAAAGAAATGCAATGTGGGCTGGTCCGTATTGCGCTTGAGTGCGATCGGTCTGAGTTGAACTCTGTCCAACTGCGATCAGTCCCAGTCTGGACATTGAATTGCAATGGGAAGAAAGCTGGTTTTGCTCTAAGGAGAAAGGCCACCGAGCAGATTTGTTTGATGTTGAAGACAATGCAGTCAATGACAGTTGGTGCAGGTGTTATTCCGGCCGGGTTTGGGGCATCTTCGGATTCAGAGGAGATCATGTATATGAGGGCTAATTATGAGCATATGGTTGGTGGTGCTGATTCAGAGTCGTTTCATTTGATTAACCCAGAAGAGTATCCTGGTCAAGAACTCAGTGTGTTCTTGATGAGGTCTTAATAATCCTGGGACTAATTAATTTATGTGCCTCGATAAATTGTAGTAAATCCTGAAATTTAGAATGTGTTTTTTGTTTCTTTTGGTAGGAAGAGGGGCATGAATGAAAACAAAGCGTTTTCTTGATTGAGGAATTCTTGATAAAGAATTTTGTGGATTAGGAAGGATGATCTTGAGGCTAGTTACATTTGGTTATAGAGCGGGTTAGATATTGAGGTTGTTCCATACTTGGTAATTATTCAAATTGTTCGTTGATTAGGTTTGAATGGTTGATTCAGATAGATATAAGGATTTTCAAGACCATGATTCGTGTACCATTTCACAATTCAATAGAGGGAACTGAGAATATTTGAGATTTTCTACAATTTTGTATCTGTAATTTTTTGGGGGTGTAGAATTTCTGTATCTGAACATTATTAATGCAGTACTGACGCTTCTTTTGAGTTTTGACCAACAGATTTGTGTGTGTGTGAGCATTGATCAATGTTAGTGTTTCTGGTTTATTACTGTTTAAGGTTTTTAAAATTTAAAGGTGGTCTGCTTCAAAACTCATGTGCATCTGATTTAATTTTTTTTTCCCCTTATGAATGAATGAAGAAAATAAATACTGCAAGCCATTGACGCAGGAAAAAAAAATGAAGTTATAGGAACCAGAGTCATCAAAGTGTTACACTTAGTCTACGTTGGGACACTTTGTAGTACTGAAAAAATTGCTTTAAAAGAAGCAACATGCAGGCCTTTCTGTGGCTTAATGAATGGTGTAGGATTGAGGAGAATACCATCCACAAAATCTCATATTCGAATCTTCCTAGACTTTTGAAGTCTCAAATAGCCCTTTTTGTCCTAACTAACTATTGGATCATGACAGATGCTGACAGCTTAAACCAACAGAGAATCAGGTTGTTTTCGGTAACAGTCACCTGTGGTTGCAATTTCTTTTGCAGTAGTTTTTAGCATCTATCACACAGCTTGCCATGCATCAAGCAAAATGGCTAATATTGGAACCAAAACTTGAAAACCACTTAATATTCCAGCTGAAGTTTGGTTGCTGCAAATTACTGGATTGGATTAATAATGAAATATAAGCAAAGATACTTCTGTTACAACTGTTTTGATTTTGACAGCTTCTAGGAATACAAAAGGTGAAAATTGTTTTCAGTCCTGCAGAAAAAAATATCATCATGTAGCTTCGAAGCTGGACCATAAGATTATTAATCTGTATTTCTAAGCAAGTTTGTTCTATTTTCTAGTATTATTTAAGTTCATAGAAAGCCTCTATCTAATAAGCAACAACTAGTCTCACACTAGTAGTGACTTTAGGTTTTGGTCACTGGTTAAGATGTTGGAAGGAAAAGTTGTACTGTGCGAGACAGACGTGCCAGAGCAGATGCAGAGTCATGTCATGGAATTAGCTTATCAGGCTCTTGATGTACATGAGGTCTTTGATTGTCAATCCATTGCCCATTACATCAGACAGATCTCTTTTATTCCTTAAAATCTTCTCTAGTCAGTCTTATTGCAGTTTTATTTATATATTCAGTCACTTCAATTAGAAAGATGAAAGAAATCTATTTGTTTAACTTCTGTTAAAAATATTGTACCTTGGTTCTTATTCTTGGCAGCATATCAGACACTTAAGTGATAAGATACAGATTGGTGGATGAATGTGCTATGCCTTGGAAGCAAGCGTGATTAGAAAGGTATCTTTCTTTTCCAAAAAAGCAATGTGGCAATTTAAGATTGTAAAGGCTCTGCTTGCTGCCATTAGAATCATTGCTATTAGGAAGTAAATAAACTGATGATTTTGGATCACAGCAACATCAGAAATTCCCTCTCTCTTTCCAATTCATGTAGAAAAGGGCAAAGTTGTGGAAAATCCACCCCTGTTAAAAAACCACAAGAAAAAAAGAAGAAGAAGATATTCTTGATGTTCCCATCATTATAAAGGTCTTTTTTTAGTCATAATTTGGTTATTATCTCATGGTCTTGAAATATTTTTTTTTCTAAAGAGGTATTATGGTTAAGTTCATGTTCCATGCTTATTGGGGAGAATTTGTACATTATGGAATGTGGGAAGGGAGCTGCCACTGCTTGGTACGGAAAATCAAGAACTATACAAGTTCCCATATTCGATGGCTATACATGGTTTTAGGTTTTAATACAAATTCATAGGTATCGTACCCTCTTTAGAGGGACCCAAAATGGATCTAATCCATCAATCTTTCTCATTGTAGCATGTCTTGTCTTTAAATATTCACCTTTTAACCTGTTTTTTTTTTTTTAATAATAAAATCTGGAATAAGCTACTAAACGAATAATGCTCAATTTGATGTTTTGAATTTGGATATGCCAACCAACAAGTGGCGCATGAAACAAAGACGTTTTCACTCTTTTCTTTTGTGTTTTTTTTTTTTTTCACAAGATCACATAGTACACGATCATGGTGCAACAGCACAGACTCCTTGTTTCTCACATCTGAACTACGTACCTCTCCGAACACCACTAATCCAGTGGAAGTGTCGGTTATCCACTCTCTCTTGACACGATCAACCAGCATCGATGCCGGTGGATGTGAAAAAATGATGATGTTGAGGATTTTTCTTAATGAGGGCTATTGCTATAATGTTCAAGCTAACAACATTTGTAAGTTGTAACTGCTAAACAGAAATTTGATGAAGCTTATGGGCCAGCATGCCACTGTGTTGTTGGAAAGGACTTTGGCTCTAGCATTACACACTTATGTAGAAGTTTCATTTTTTTCCGTGTGGAGAAGATGGAGTTTTTAATCTTCAAAGATGGTAGGGACTTCAGTGAAAGCGAGGAGGAAGCTATTGGAGTGCTGGAGCAATTCAAGAAAGAAAAGAGACACAGATTCATATAATTTCTTGCCATGTCTTTACAGAACACCTCCATCTGCCAGAAGAAGTCGAAAACTTCATGACAGAAACTTGGCATATGACAAGCATGTTCAATTTTGCAAGAACCAGAAATCTAAATTAGAGAAGATACTCCTTTTCTCATGTGCTTCTCATATGACATGCCCACCAAACGAAGAAACATTTTGAAGTTGTAAGCTGATACGTGCCAATATAACCTATGTCTCTAGGAATAGCAACCAACTAAAGCGAATGAACCTTTTCATCAGATGTTTTTGACAGCCAACAAAGAAAAGGAGAGTTCAGAAAGAAATTACCTCAAGAGCAAAAGCATGGTTTTAGTGTAGCCACCTCGATCAAGTAAACTTTGACTCGTCCAGGTTCGAACAGAAGTTCTGCATTGTCTGTGAGGACGAGGTAATCTGCAACCCAAGGACTAGATCAAACGATGAGGTGATCCAAACCTCAGGATGCAGATTACCCAATCCTGACCCAACATCAAGGATGAAATAATTAATTTCAAGAGGGAAACAAAAGGGATAAGTTGGAGGTTAATCGCAAGCTGATGCTCATTTGAATGATTGATTGTTGGAATTTATAATGGTTCTTAAAGCTAAACATGATTATTCTGTGAGAAAGGGATGCATATTTGCTTTAAAGCCATGATAAGGTGCTCTACCCTGGAGATTCTGTTCTTCCCAAACCAATCACATAGGCTAGGTAGGTTACTTTCCATAGACAATGATGTTGATCTTGACTGCTTTTTCAACAAGACTAGAAGATCTTCGCTTGCTAATTATGAATTATTCTTTTCAAGTAATGGCAACACTAGTCAAGGAAAAAAATAATAATAATAATAAATCAAGAAAAAATCCACATCACAAACTCATCGCCTTGGTATGCTAAGGCTATTCAATTAGTGTGCTTGAAGCTTGCTAGAGACTGTAGTCCAAGAATCCATCTCAAGCTTTACAAACACGTATCAGCTATGCTCATGATTCTGTAATCCAGTCAAATTTAAAAGACAGTGAACTGAAAAGGAAAGGCCACACTGCCATGCTGTAGCATTGCTATCTAGTTTGATGGTCACCATCTGCCTTCTTCTTTTTTTTTTTTTTTTTACACAGTAGCATATTCTATTCCTTTGCCTATTCATAGACACATCATACTAAATTGTACACGTGCAATATAATATTGTGGTGAATGATCATAGGTCCTATATAGCAAGCAGAAACCATTAATTTCATGGATTCTTGAGTGAAATTATCGATGATAAGCAAGCTAGCTATTAAACTCAAACTAATGTCTGAAGATGCAATTTGCAACTAATTAGCAACGTGGATGCTTCTGTAAGTAACTTTTGAATGCAACTACTTCATTGACAGAAGAGAACCGATATTTCATGCTTAATTCTCTCTTTCTCATGCTAGGAACTTTCCACGAGGGAAGAACAGCTACCTTTATGCAACCTAGCTAAGGTCTTGCACTCGCATTCCTTGTACTTCATTCCATAAATTTTTACTTTGCCCCTAAAAGAAATCATCATGGGTTGGTGTCATGATTTCAATACTACATACTATATTGGTATAGACTTTGCTGTCCTCCAGTCATACGACATGCAAGTCCCATTTTGCGTCAATGATGCGTCGTCTTGGCAAACCCATAACATTCAACCACGCCTCTTACAAATAGTTCAAATGCAAAAAGCCAATTTGCCCAATGAAATATCCCAGTTTGCGTCTATGATCAAGGATGGCCATTTTTTCCGTCCCCGCGAGGCCCCGCACTTCCAAACCCCCTCGATGGTATTTGCCCACCTCACCGTATTCTTTCTTTTAAAAATTATAATTATACCCAACATATATGCAAATTCTGATATTACAAACTAATCTCCAATATAATAAATAAATTTTAATAATTTATAATCAATAAAGATATATAAAATTTTATCTTTTTTAATTATATTTATAATATTTCATCAACTTAATTAAATATTTTATTTATTCAATTAAAAATAATTTAATATATTATAATTTATGTTGTAAACTTATAGTTAAATATGATACTAAATGATTATCTTTGTAAAAAAATTAAAATGTCCTGAGAGGATATCCATCCTTGTTACGGAGGGGAATGGTAGGGAAATATTGGGGCGGAGCATTTCAAGGTCCCCGCCCCCATCCCGATCCCGCCCGTTTGCCATTCCTATCTATGATGCGTCCTGTTGGCAACCCGTGACATTCAACCATGCCTGTTACAACTAGTTCAAATGCAAAAGGCCAACTCTATACTGGCCCAGAATCAATGTCTAGGGATTCAGGAGATTCTGCACTGAAAATAGAAAATGACTTCCACAAGAACACCTTAGCAAAAGCTGCTCAAAGGCGAGTAATAAACAAACTATGATTACAAAACTTCTAGGCAAGTAAGAAACAAGCTGGGAAAACAAAACTGTTGTGACGATGTGATCATCAACGACTGCTGACTCTAGAAGCTAAGAACTATATAACGGAATTGGATACACTTGCGTCACTCTCACAATCTTATCTCCCCTACTATCACCAAGTTATAGTTCTACAGAAATATAGAGACATAGTCTTCCCATGAATTTGCCAATTCTCAATACCTGCATCCTTATGGTTGTATGCCCAATTCTCCAAACATTTCATCTTTGCATGAAACGGCCCCTATACATTAACTATAAGTATGGTCTCACGGCAGTGACGACAAAATTTACCACCATGGAATTTCTTGTCCCAGTAACTCAAGACATTTCTCCAATCTACCTTCGACTATAAATAACCAACTGATTCTTCTTCTCTTCCATGTTTCTCATGTCATGGGCTAAAATTGATGGTATCCAGACTCTAATTTGATGCAACTAATAACTGGCAGGGATGGACGGTAGAAGCATCTTCAATGTCTCATAAGTCATGAACACAATGCCAACACCAGGAACCACCTTGTAGTACTCAGGCAGAATTCCTCTATACATGCCTCGCAACCCTTCAGTCTGGATTATATGGGCAAATGTCCCAAACAAGCCACTTGTGTAGACACGTGCTCGACCACCAGCCCCTTCCAGCTGCATTCTTCTCCTCACAAGATCCAAGGGAAATGTTGCTGTAAATCACAAGGAAAGAAAAACAAAGTCATGTAGAGATCACCTGTAATAGATTACCATTTAGTAGACACTTGAGGACACTGTGTTCACCTATCAGGACCACATAACAAAATCTACAGAATAGGAAGGATATTGATTGACAATAAACAAATTTTCATAATATATTCCCTATCCCAATGATTACTACAACAGTCATGCTGGCAGGATCGACAGAAGAAAAGAAAGAACTTAGCCCTGATAGCACTGTTTCTGAGCAAAAATCTGAAGCAATTACTAACAGATGGGACGTGATAAACAAAAGTCACAGCAAAAAAGTCCAGGTACAGATTGCATTCTAAGGCTATGAAAAAAAGGTCGAATTGAGCTGCTGATCACTCACCTGTTGACGATGCAATACCTGAAAGACTGCCACAAGCAAGACTAACCATGACAGTAGAATCATTGGGCCTGAAAACAACACAGAAGAGCTTATAAAACATCATTCCAACTTAACCACACCGATCAAGAGATAATAACATACAAATATAACAGAGTGCTTGATATGCTCAATTGAATCAATTCATGGAGTCCTCACCTTTTAGACTCCCAAAAAGATCTGAGAGACTCATAAACAGAAAAGCTTATTGCTATACTAGGTCCAACACCCTGCACCACAAAAGCATCTGTATTTGACAAAATGGAGAAGAGAAGGGAAAGGAAAGAAAAGGAATAGAGATGTGTAACAGAAGCTTACAAGTAATGTTGCTCCAAGGCCTTTATACAAGCCCAGGAAACCTTCTTCTCTGCATATCGTATGAAATGCATGGCAAACACCTCTGTAGTATATTGTATTTCTCTGCAAGGTTCAAAAGCAACCGCATGAAGACAAACTTTCAAACAGGAAAGTATAACAATCAGGTAAGAACAAACAAATAATCATTAGCCCACCCACCCCAGGGCAGTTCTTTAGCCACTAAGCATGATAAAGTTACCTGTGCTGCTAAGCGCGTCCTCACAAGATCCAGCGGATATGTGGCAGATGCAGCTGTTATTCCTGCCATCCCACCACCTATAAAGTGCACAGCAAGGTCTGCGGCCCCATTCCCCCTGTGATTTTCAACACCAAGAAATGATTGCAATAACTGCAAAAGAGCAGGACAAGGAATTTAGAAAGCATTGAGATAACAAGTCAATCCAATTTAATTTTTGTAGGAGTTTTGAAAAAAAAAAAAATTGTATGCACTTACACTCTTGTAACGTTCATAAGCATAGAAGTTGACTGAAGAATAAGGAAGGCGGTGAGCAATAGTCACTAGGTTGCCTTTCCAAAATGCCCTAAACCCTTCTTCATTAATAACACGAGAAGCCTCCCCCATATGCTAACCTTGCTCAATGCTGTAACATTAGAGTGCATACCTTGAACCTAGAAGAATGAAAAAGTAAAACAATAAATAATTGGTGCATGTGTGGAAAAATATAAAAGCAATAATCCAGCAAATTATTGTCATCAGCAAGGTACAGAACAACGTCAGTCCTCTGCACACATAGGCAGTTTCAGAAATACATGATTTGAAATATAAAAATAGTTTCAAGGTTGATCGTTGATAGAGCAAAATTATGAACTTAGCCAAGAAAGAAACTAAAGGGTTTTTGCTGCAATTGCTGAAAATTGGAAGTGAGCAAACTGCTTGAGCTCTTTTGACAACAGAATACATGATAACAAAACCATCTTGCAGTACCTCGGAACCCTTTCTAATAAATGACCCAAGTCTAATTCCTATGAAATGTGTATTCGCATTTGACAATCACTTTCAACAAAACTAACTTTTGACTTCAAAATTCCATCGTATACATCAAATATTTATATATATTAAAATTCAGCTGCATTAAGAGAAATCTAATTCAAATTAAACACCACTCCAACTGGAAAAGGATTTAAAGACGTATTTTTCAACAGGAAATAATCATGTCTTAATTAGTCACAGATCAATTTTGCGTTGAAATCCTAAACAGAACCAAATTAACAACTTGCCTTTAAACCCCAAAACCCTTAATTCCAAATTTCCCAAATTCTAATGATACTATTAAACCAAATGATGAAAAAAAAAAAAACAGATGAGAAAATCCAAAAAAAAAAAAAATACAAAGACAAAAATGATAGAAAAAAGTTAAACAACCTGAAAGAGGATGGTAATGCGAGCGAGAGGAGCCGTACAAGTCTTACCAAAAGCACCCGCAATGCCACCAGCAAGCAATTGTTGGACAGTTCCTAATTGTGAATGTTGTTGGGGAGTAAAAGACTGCTGTTTATTGCTATGTTGTTGTTGCAAGAATTTCCTTGCACCAGCATCCACAATGCTTCCATGGGCAGCAGCAGAATTAAATGCTCTCTGCCCTCCCTCAACAACCACACCAACTCTAGCTTCCATATTCATAAATGATATATCCTCTCTTCTTCTGTTTCAACTAAATAAATAAAACAGATTTGGGTGTTCTCTCTTATTTCTGAAGTTGTGTGTATCTATCTATCTATCTACGTGTTACATGGATCGGTGAAGAGTGTTGAGTGTTGTGGAAATGTGAGAAAAATGAAAGTCGTGGTGGTGGTGGTGGAGGTGGAGGTGATTGTGGTGGTGAAGAGAGAAACCCTTGTAGAGTAGAGTGGAAAGAGTAAAACCCTAATGAGAAGGGCAAGTGTGTGCGCTATTTTTGGCACAGGATTAGGTGGGCTTTGTGCGGTTTTAGACTTTTTAGCATGTGGAATACCTCTTGGTATCTGCGTGGTTTGAACGAAAGAGGTTTGCCAAACACAAAGAGTTCAACTTTATGTTATACTTTCTTTTCTTTTTCTTTCTTTTTTCTTTTTTCAAAACAAAAAGCTTTATTTAAAAAAAAAACTTTATTTAATTGGTGTCTGAATTTAACTTTTTCTTTCCATCTTCTTGATGTCTGAATTTTTTAATCTTTTATTTGAGAGTTTTGTTTTTATTTTTCTTATTTGACTGTGCAAACAGACATTATTTTTTTTCATTGAGTAATTCTATTAGATTTTCTATATTATATGTTGATGGAGCTATTAAATTTACACATCACATATGATATAAATTCGAATGTACATGAAGTTGTCAATCTATTTCTAACTAGTCCATTACAGACATTTTTTATGGTAGTTTTCGATTGGATGCTAATAATTAATCTAATAATTACGTCCAATTATTAAACAAATTCGAAAAGTTATAATAAAAAAGAATTAAACTATAGATTAAAAGAAAAACATAAAAGATGAATCTTCAAAGCAGCACTATAATCAAAATTAATCTCCACAACTCTAAAATAAATAAATAAATACTCAAGGTTTATCCCTATGCATGAAATTTAATATTTACATATACGTACACATACACACGCATAAAATTTTATTTTTCTATTTGATTATTTCTAATTTTATTTTTATTAAGTATTTGTATTTTAAAAAATTTATAATTGACAGTATTTTTATTATAAAACGTTGATTAATTGCTAATGTTTTATTATAAATCCATCTCGCATTTTTCGGTACACCACTTCGACCAAATGTAAAAAGAAAAAATAACACAAAAACATTAACTAATAAGTTTATTCATTTAAGTAAAATAAGAATAAAAAGTATCTTGTCTCATTCTGCCAAAAAAAAAGGAAAAAGAAAGAAAGATAACTTATCTTTAAAAAGAAAACAATAACTAAGATTCGTTTAATTTTCTCAAGCTGTACAAAAACCAAATAGGTTTGCACACTTAATTTACTACACTAACAAAGTTGATTATTTTTACAAAATTAACAAGGCTAAATGGGTCAAATCTTCCATAAATTTTAACTCATTTGAAATTGAGCTCTTGAACTTCAAATTTGATTTTTGAAATCCTTAAATTTTTAATTTTTTTTTAAAGTAAATCTTTCAATTTTATGTCATTTATTTCAAAAAATAACAATCAAATAAATAGCTCCACAATAAAAATCATTCAATGAGATTTATATTGGACTCTTAAAAAAATTTGACATCATTCTGAATTAATTTATATTTTTTTCTGATTTCTATATTTTTAGTGTTCAAAAAATAAATAAATTTACTTTTCAATTTTGAAAAATTATTGGATTGATTGTTTCTCATCATCTGTGCAAAACTTCTACTATAAAAAATTAAGACTTTAACGATAGATTTACGTGTTTCTAAACCTATATGTTCCGTCGTTATTTTCTTTTAGTGATGGAATGACTATGACTCTAATCCATCGATAAAATGCTTTTCGCTAATAATTTTAGCGACGGACAAGATGTCGCTATAGTGAATTATGTCCATCACTAATGTGATGAAATTAGCGACAAACATTTTGCCGTTGTATGGGCTTTTTTCATCTCTAATGTGACGCCAAACCACCAATTGAAATTTTCGTTAGAAAATTTTTTATCGCTAATCCGTCTTCGTTTGGTCGATAATCTACCAATAATTTCCGTAATTATCCATTGATAGGTGATGCCATTTAATCATTTTTTTCCATCGCTAGTCAATTGTTGTTCAATCGCTAATGTAGAAAAAGTAATTTTTTTTAATTTGTTATTAGTGGTTTAATATTTAATTGTAGTAGCAAACTAAAAATGAAATTATAACACAAAATATTATTATGTAAAATAAAAATAATATAAAATCAAACGAAATATATACAAATAAGCTCTAATGTAAGGAAAAAAATTAAACCTTAAAAAAAAGTTAGTTTGATCGAGGGGGCACATTTGGGAGGTCATCATCGTCATCTAGCGCTGCTAGTAGAGGGAGGGTTAGGAAGAGAAAAGGGCGGGTCAATGCGGGTTTGCATCTTCCGTAACAACTATTGTATCATCTACATTTATTAATCATGTTGTTGTTGCTCTTGCTAGAGAAGCTCGGTATTCCACCTTGAGTTCCTCTTGTATCACTTAGATCTACCGAGCTTAATCACGTTTTATTTCGATATGAAGGTTACGTCGATGCTCGCTCATCATATTGCTCGCATATCACCATGGAATCATAATATAGTAGATGACAAGTTGATGTTATAATAGAAGTAATACTTGGAACACATGTGATTCGAAGTCGTACACTCTATACTTCTATGTCTCTCTTATAGCCTCGAGTTATATTTGAGTGAATTATAAAAATTGAAGTAATATGAAGAACCCTCTAGTGCTCGGCTAGCAATCGCCTCACAATTTGAGTCCACGTGCTCTTACGGAACCGCAAAAATTATAATATTAAATCATAAATTTAATTTTTAAATTAAATTGGCATATGTATAATTAAAAATAAATAACACTTACCTCAATCATCTTGGATCGCATATCGACGAATGACTTATCTCGTTCATCTATGAGTCCTTACGAATAATTCGTAAGGATTTAGGCCACAACCTAACTCCTTAGCCTAAAAAAATTGATATAAATAATATGACATAAAATAAATATAAATAATAATTTGTAACATAGGATTTACCACGTATGCAACATACTTAACTAGTGAGATAGAACCCCTTGTATATCTAGATGGGCCGACACCATTATCAACCATCTCGCATTTGCGATTCCGGACCGCCTATTCGAATTGGCCAAAAACTCAAGTATGGCCGATTGTCACCGTCATCCATCCACCTACTCTACTACGGACGTGGGTCCGGTCTTCTTCTCTTTCACTTGGTCGAATGTTGACATATCGTTTGCTTACTTGACGCTTCCATGTTATCTTACCAATAGTCATTAACTTCCTCCAATATAAAGTACTTTTGCAAAAAGGAAAAAAAATAAATAGTAGTACATATCATGTTAGATTTATTGAAATAATTTAAAGGTAATATAAATAAATAATTAATATATTACCTTAAACTCATCCTAGTAGAAGTCTTTAGTCTCGTAGGAGACCAACTTTCACGTAAAGTTGAAAGGGTCTAATCTCTCCTCGAAAATGACAATGATCCACTAAGAGCACCAACTCAATGGAATCAAAATGTCGAACATGAAAAAATAGAAAAAACGATAAGTGAATTCAAGAACAATAGAATATATCAAAATATAAAACGTAATTACTAAGTATAAAGAATAAACATTATTATTTATATCGGTACGCATAATGTGTACCTCTCATTAACGATATCAATGGTCCGATTAGCATCATTCCTAGAACTACGTCCAGAGTAGAAGAAACCACCGAGGTGACTTCTATCGCCTAGCTCTATACAGAGCAACGGTCATCCCATAAGGGAGCCGATAAAGCTAGAAGCATTAATGCTAGCAATGCGAAGTGTTGGGCATATGCCTAGGATAGGAAACAAAACTACGACCATGGCCACTCGCCATTACCATTACCACGACCATCCGATTTAGCAAAATGGGATGCTCGGGCGGAATGACCGAAACTATGAGTCATCACCTATATAAAATCACATAATATAGTTTAATAAATATAGCAAATTAAAAACATCTTTATTACCTTAGTTTATAAATATAATAAATTATATGCTAAAGAAGTTATCACATTGCACTTCGATAAATGTCTACTCAAGAAATGCTGTGATCATAGTAGGAGTACACCAAGAGAGTATAGTTGATTTACTCTAACAACTTAAGACACTCGAAAATCGAAGAAAACTTATGTGATCATAATCAAACAAGACTAATAACTAAGTTCGAGATATCACTATGATAAGTTGAATTGAGGATTAAATTGCATCGTAACCATGCTTATGAAAAGTAATAATGGATTAACTAATCCTCCTAGAGAATTGGATAGTCATGATGCCTTACTAGAGGTCAATCTTGATTTATGTATCAAGAGATAAAAGAGGAGTTTTCTATTCTTGATACATTGATAATACATCTAAGAGCCTATTGAGTCACATGTATAAGTTTAAGTATTCACATTATAAATGAGAAGCAAATGTATTGGGAAAACTTTTCGGTTTAAAAAGTTTTCTATTTTGGAAAGAGTTTTCAAAATGAAAAGTTTCATAAAATGGAAAGTTTTCTATTTTAGAAATCGGTTTCCTAATTTAAAAGTTAGTTTTAAATTTGGAAATAAAGAACCTAAAAGGAAAGAGTTTCCTAATTTAGGTTAAAGGGTATTTTAAAAAATTGTTTCCTAATATGGACCCCGTAAAAATTATCTAAGAATATTTGTTTGGATAGTCCAAATAAATTAATTGGTTTAAAATAGTTTTGACATATTAGATTTAATTAAAAGCTTTGAGATAATTTTGATGAGAGGATAAACATCAACCTTATTAGATAAAGTTGAGTGTTTTAAAGATAATAATCAAGTAGTCTATATATAAAATAATTCTTTAACCTTAGATGATAAGGAAGTAATAACCTAGAGTCTTAAAAAGACTTGTGGTCGTCCCTCTCCTTGTCCTTAGAGGACAAGGAAACTCTT